ATACACTGTTATCTGGTGAGCCAATTAATAGAATATATAAGTAGAAGTTAATAAATGAAACTGGTTGTACTGAAAATACAGTTGCCACTTCTGTCCATTTTTATGTGTCTGTCTAATTGCGGTCAAAGCTTTATCACATCATTTCAATGAATTTTGCCAATTTTGTGATTTCAGTATGATTTCTATATCATTCAACCTCCACAATAGTAACAAAAATATTTAAGAACTATTAATACTGTTTTCTGTCAATATTATTATATATTATTCAATAAAACATGTAATATATTATTAATAGTTCCCTTAAGTGTGTCAAGGTATATGGGAATTCTAGTTGAAACATTTGGAGAGTATTATATTACCTGTTTCAGGATTGAATCTCCGTTACTTACACACACACACACACACACACAGACACACACAGAAACACAGAGAAACACACACACACACACACACACCATTTAAATCTGTGGATAAATAGAATATTATGAAAGTGATTAAACTTCTGTGCTCAGGCACACAACCTTGAAGAGTATTTTTTTTTAATTCTATGCTGTTGCTATATACATATTTTTATTTAGAGAAACATGCTAATAAAAATTTGATACAGATATATTTTATCCATATAAGTAGTAAGTATCCTCATTGCCTTCTGAGTTTGCCAGAAGTTATTTCTGACATTTCAGATACTTCAATAAAAGTTATTCATTTTCACGCATTATGTTTTGGCCTTGAAAATATACATAATACATAGAATATATAAAATACAAATAAATTATATGCACACAGAGAAAGAAAGAGAGAGAAGAGAGAGAAAGAGAGAAGGGAGAGAGAGATCAAATTAAATAGTCATATATTAAATGCCACTGCTACAATTCAATAATTCTCAAAAGAATGTTATATTAAATTAAAAAAATAATTTTATAAGAGGCACATAGGGAAACTGTTATAAAAAATCATAAAACTCTTTCCTATTCGGAATATACTGCAATGTAAAAATATACAGAAAAAGTAATCTGCAGTATTCTGATTACAGTTAACAAGAAATACCATAGGTGAAAGGGACTTATAAATGATAATGACATACCTCACAAAAATATTTCATGTTAACAGAGAGAATGCAACCATTTTGGAACAAAATAAGCTAAGTCAATTTAAAAAAAACATAATTCTGAAGTTTTCAAATTAAATTCTGGAATAATCGAGTATAAAAATCAGAAGCTATGGGTTTTAGTCAGGCAGCTTTTACTAGATACTTCCATAAGCATATACATTTTATATACTCAGAAATTGTACAAGATTGTTATCTTAGAGGATGAAATTAATATTTTCTATGATGGCATTTTGTTTAGACAAATTGGGTTTTTTTTAACATACTCTTTATTAACATCAAGCCCTGTGTTTAACTTCAGGTGTGGCTCAGTAGAAACATTCTTATCCTTTGGGAAACAGAAAATATATAGATTTCAAAATGTGCTTTTTTTGCCTTATGGCAGAAATGGGCAATATATAAGTATTGCTGTACTACAGCACCCATCAGTCCTAGTTAAAATGACAGTGGAGATAATTGATGGAGGTTGCTGTTCAACAACATTTAATAAGTCATACATTGTCCTCCCATACTTTATGGAATGTGTAACCTGGTTAATGTCAACATATGGATAATACAGTTGTTTTCATATTTGCAGTATTTAGTTGGCTTAGAAGATCATTAAAGACTAGGTTTATGCCTAATTTGTTTTAAAATTAAACCTATGGAAAGGCAGTTATATACATGTGATAGTAACACCTTATTCCTGAAACTCAGCTTGCTTTTTCTTTTCCACTAGAACAGTGGTTCTCAACCTGTGGGTCAAATGACCATTTCACGGGGGTCACCAAACCATGCTGTCCGCCATTTTTTTCCCTTTTCCCTAGCTGTCCTACTCCCTCTTACTGGTGGCCACACCCACTTGGGGGTCACCACAACATGGGGAAATGTATTATGGGATCACGGCATTAGAAAGGTTGAGAATCACTGCACTAGAACAATCTTTCTGAACCTGAAAAGTAAACTAAGAATAGCATTTCTTTATAGAATTCAAATTAATTCAAATTCAAATTCTGTTGGATTAGCTCAACCTGTTCTATGGATTATGCTATTGTGTATAGAACCTCATATTATTCTTTCAGAATTACTTAAACTGTAGCTAAATACTGGAAGAAAAAAATTCTCCCCAATGAAAAAAGCAAGGCTTTAATAATTTATATTAAAATGCTGGTTTAAATCTATAAAGCCTTTCATGGATTGGCACCTGTTATCATCAGAACTACACCTCCCCATTAGAGTCAGTCTGAACCCTTTGATCCTACCAGGAGAACCAGTTGGTTGTGACCTTCATTTTTGGAAGGTTAGGGGCCAATGTCTGGAAGCATTGATTCTTGGTAGTGGGGCTTGGCCCTCTCAAATGATCCCCTATTGGAGACTTGTCTACCTCCACATTGTCTGTGTCCTAGAAAAAGCTGAAGGGTTTTTTCGGTGTGCAATTTTATTTTGGGTTTTAATGTTTTATGGTATATACACACATATACGCACATACTATATATGTAAACTTTTCTCTGCTTGACTTTTATTGTTGTAGATTTTAATAATCCTCAAATGTTGATTTTATCCTCTTTCTCATTTATCTTCCTTCTTAGTAGTCTTTTCAGTTTTAAAAAGTTTTCTCTTTTGAAATCAAATATTATTGCATTACATCTCCCCGTTCACACCCAAATTAAAGTTATTAGCATTGTGCTCAGTATTTCCAGTCCCTAAGAAACAACTAAAACAAAAAGGAAGAAGGCAAAATCTATTCACAAACCAAGAGATAGTGTAATTTGAAATCACATTTTGAAATCTGGAAGGCCAAAAGCTAGACATGATAAATGTCTTCAGAGGATGATGAAATGCATGAAGTTGCCAAATGGTCTGTCCTCAACTGGGAATTCCAAAACCTAGTAGGACCACAGCAAAGGACTTTTCCCATGTCACTATATCTCAGATGGGTGTGGTATTCATGAATGGCTTGCTTGAAATGAGAAGATAACCAAAACAAAAAGGTAATTTTTGAGGAATTTGAGTTCTACAGGTAGTCCCTGTCTTACAACCACAATTGAGCCCAAAATTTCTGTTGCTAAGCAAAACATTTGTTACATGAATTTTACCCCATTTTACAACCTTTCCTATAACAGTTGTTAAGTGAATCTGGCTTTCCCATTGACTTTGCTTATCAGAAAGACATAAAAGGTGATCATATGACCCTGGGACATTGCAACCATCATAAATATGAGTCAGTTGCCAAGCATCCAAATTTCATTCATGTGGGGATGCTGTAACAGTCATAAGTCATAAATCACTTTTTTCAGTGCTGTTGTAACTTTGAACGATCACTAAATGAACTGTTTTAAGTCGAGGATTATCTGTACTTCACAACTTGCCCCTCTATCTCATAAAGAGAGGCTGCTGCTGTGTACTGATTACCCAGCGTTTATATGCGCTACTAAGAATATATTTTTAAAAATGGGTCAATTACACAGCAAAAGTGTTGAAAGTTGTAATGGATTAAGACCATCTACATCAGATATGTCAAACTCACGACGTCACGTGATGTCGCACAACATATCGGAGCTTTTTCGTCATTGCCGGCAATGGGGTGGGTGCGGCTCTGGTATGATGAAACCAGCCCGTGGGCCAGCAGTTTGACACCCCTGACCTACATGACATCTGAAGATGATAAAATGGAGAAGGAAAGTGCTGCTGCATAACTTTCCTAGAGGTGGCTTTACTCTGTTACTGTAAAGGCTCAGTGGAAGAGGTATGTCCTTTACTAAAGCTCCAAGGGACTAAGGGACTTTGAAAGGAAAGCTTGTTCTTGTGATATGCAAATATTTATTTTTGCATGTACAGAAGAGTATCACCATTTTGTCTGTAATCTTGTATACTGATGAATATAACATTGTAAATTGCTTGCGCTGCAGTGCAACGCTCATCTTAATTAAAACGTACCATTAAAAAAACTGTACAAATATTTTATATAGTTAAATCTGGCTTGGATAAATAATGTTCCATGGTCTAACAATGAACTTGATGAGAAGGTACATCTGAGTAAGAAACTGTTAACTTAAAATTGAATTCAGCAGTGTCATTTCACATCTTCGTGCTATAGCAAGCAGCCATGCATAATATATTTTTACATTCCTGAAATCCCTTTCCTGAAATCCCTTTATTAAAGAATAATGCCAAAAATGGAAGAATTAAATCTAGAGGAACTCCTGAAATCTTGAATTGTTGGCTTGAAAAAGAAAATTATCTGCCAATATGATCTCCAGTTGGGATAAATTTAGAGTCCCAATGCCTGTATTTACTGTATCTTTACAGTATATGCTGTCCATCTCACTTAGCAATTCTGGGAGCCAGCATGTTATAGTGTTATTGCAGCAAAGCAATGCATTTGCCAGGAAAGAAAATAGCAGCAACGGCAGAAAGTGGGAGAAATTATCAACAGCCAAAGGAGCTTGGGAGGAAACAGCATTGTTGGCCATTCTTCTTGTTGGGATAATTGATTCTCTTTATTGGAGGCATTTAAGCAAAGGCTGACAGCCATCTGTCAGGGATATTCTTGTTGATTACAGTATGGATATGGTTCACTTAGTAGGAATTAGTTGGGAACTTCCAGATTCCAACTCTAAGATTTGATGATAACCAATTTTGTTCAGATCAAAAAAGTATACTAGTTAATACCAAACTAAAAGATTGTAGCCCATTGTAGTTGTGTCAAAATCAAGGCAGAGAAATGCCCAGAAAAATAATTTCTTACACTTCACTGACTATCCAGTTCCTTTCTTTCAACCTGTGTTCTCCAAATGTTAGTATACTGTAAACAAAGGACAGGTGTTCCAAAACAGGTATTTGCACCTGGATGAATATTGATTTTGAAATACCAAACTAGTTTTTTTATCTTCCTGTCTTTTTCCTATCCCAGGATGAACGTGAGGCCCGAGAAAATGTGAAGAGAGAACAAGATGAAGCTTACCGAATCTCTCTGGAAGCTGATAGGGCAAAAGTATGTATCAATCATTGCAAAGCATACAATGTTTAAGACTAATCTTAAGAAATAGTTTAGTTAATTATTAATCTAAATCAGATCATGTTTTGTCACCAGTGTTGTCACTTGTATCCCAGGGTCTGGTCCCTTTCCTAATCCTTTTCAGAGAGTCATCAAGGCCCTCCTATACTTGTGATGAGGAGAGAAGATCTCCATCACACTGACATTCTGAGAAATGTGGGTTTCCTATTGGAGAAATCTCATAATGTTCTGTTGTTCCTACTGGAAAGGACCTGTTTCAGTAAAAAAAGGTTGCTTGGCTACAATTGCTTTTGGTACTACTTTTCTCAATCAATCATTATAACTTTACTAGAAAAAGAAATATGTTATTCTTTTAGTAAACACATGACTGCAACCTTCTGCTGCTTTCAGTCTATCATAGTAACCTTCCGTAACCCCCAAATTCTCAGAAAATACCTACTTTGATATCACCTTTGATATGAATGGTTTCACTTTAACACTATAAAAATATACCATAGTAATAAATAAATCAATTCTTTACTACTTTACCATATATCCAAAATTGTCTCTTTCTGTTGATTTTCTCAATCTGCCTAGTAATATTCAATCCTGCCACAATAATGCAAATAGGGAAAGAACTCGAATATAAAAATATGTGGAAGTGAAAGAAATAAAGTAAAAGTAACTATAGTCATATCTAATATTATTAAAAATTTAATGATAATTGGATTAATGCTTGGAGTAAAAACAAGGCAAGTTACATGATTCCAGTTCAGTGACAACACGGGAGGAGGATCTTAAAACTATGCAGATTATTAGACCTATGAACCATCTTGCTTTCTGAAATACATTGTTTGGGAGACCAGGTTCTCTGAGGAAACATCTATGTGCAAAGTGAGATCCTTCAGTTAAGAAGATTTCCTGATTGGCTATTATCCTTCAGGTAAAGGAACCTTCACACATGGAGAGAGAGAGAGAGAGAGAGAGAGAGAGAGAGAGAGAGAGAGAGAGAGAGAGAGAGAGAGAGAGAGAGAGATTTTAAAGAATTCACTTTGGCAATTTGTACAGCAGCATCCATGGCTTTGATCATGCTGCTTTGACTTCCATTATGCTTGTTTTGATCTACTGAAGGTTGCCAAAAATGGATGCTTTTCTCAGGGGCAGGGCTTGCCTACAGGGTTCATGGTTATTTTCACAGAGTTTCCAGCATGGTGAGAACAATATTAGACTGCCTATTATTATTATTTTTTAAAAAAAGGTCTGAATAGTTCTCAGAGTCTAAAAGAAGGATCGTTTTCAGTAGAGAGAAACAGATATAGGGTTCAGATATATTTTTTCTGAGTCATTAGTATTGTGTCTGTGAAGAAATGTAAACCATTCAAATATGGAAAGCCATGCAAATCATAAATTCTGTTTATTAATTTATCACTTGTTCTGCAGCGGGAAGCACAAGAAAGAGAAATTGCAGAGCAGTTTCGCTTGGAACAGATTAGAAAAGAACAAGAGGAAGAGCGTGAAGTAAGTGAGTTTAACTTTTTATTCAACTGTACACTAACAACTGTGTAAGGGAAGCTACTAGCTGTAGTTCTGATGTTTTTTGTTGAAAATAAAGTGTTTTCCTGTTTAGATGTTTTCTACCAGAAGGAAAACATAGGTGTCTGGTATAAAGTGTGAAGTGATAAAATGCACATTGTGACATCATGGAAGTTTCATCATTCCTGTCCACCATTCCCCAGGAATGCTGACAAAGAAGAAATGAGTATCTAAGCTAATTTTTTTTTTATCAAAACCACCATAACTATATTTCAGATGATCTCTTCCAAAGAGATTTTGAATATCATTTTTATATAATCTTTTTACTTTTTCAGTTTCTCCCTATCTTAATATTTCTGTTCAATATCCTCTTTCTCTAACTGTCCGTACTGTATTTACTTACTTACTTACATTGTTATATGCCTACCTATTTGACTACCAAGGTTAAAAATGCCCCCAAACAGTATAAGAATCATCAAATAACCACAGAAATCAAATCCTGCTGAAGAATTCACTTATTTTCCTACATAGTCATTTAGTCACCAACATTACCAGATTCCCCAGACCAGATGGCAAACCCATGCTTTCTTACTCTTCTAGAAGGCTAACAATATTGGGGTCAGTCTCAACTCAGGTCAATATAGGCATAGAATAATTTTACTCTTGTGTAATTTTGTTGGAGCATAAATTTTGCTATTTAACTATTTAGAATGTCCTTTCAGAATTTTTTTTATAGAAAGCTGCAGAATAAGTCTGCCTTTTATGCCTGTAATTGGACTCTTTCTCAATGCAAATAGCTATAAAAGAGAAAAATATTTATATATCAGAACAAAAACATTATTCACAAAGCTGGGTAAAAACATTCCTTTTATATACATATTACCTATAGTCCACTGCTATATCACAGAGTTTGTTTATATGATGTCCTTTCATTCAACTTCTGTTTGATAGCCAGTCATTCATCTGTCCACATAATGAATCATCTTTTTTTATATCTGCAGTGCAGATCCAAGAATTGTTAACTTTATTCTTCCTTCATTGTTCTTTAAGTGTGTTCACTGATATAGAATATCCATTGTAAATATCTATTTTCTGCTAAAGCTTTAGAGAGTAGTTACTTTGGAGGGGAAGTTATTCTTTACATAATAAAAATAGATCTTTCTAAGCTGCTGTTTGTTTTTTCTAGTATAATTGCTTGGGTTCAGTAAATACTATTGCATTTGTTATACAGTATTGGTAAATGTCAAAATACAATGATAGAAAGCAGGTGCCTCAGAAGAGAAAATACAAAAGGATAACAACATTCATCCATTTATAAAAGATTAAAATAAGTCCATTGTGCAGGTAAATGATAAAATAATAAAATATTTAAACATATGTACTATTTTCAATTTCATCTAGTCTAGCTCTTGTTTAATGCTGTTATGTACAGCATCTCTGTGACAGATGACTATCCGGTCTCTATTTGAAGTTCTCCAGTGAAGAATTCACCACTTCATGTGGCAATAATGTTCCCCATCTGATACTTCATACAATCAGGAAAGTTCTCCTGACATGTAGCCTAAACCAATGTACTTGCAATTGTAGCCCGTTGATTATGATTTCTACTTTCTGGTACATTTGACAATAAGTGCATCCCTTTTGTGTTGACAATGCTTCTGCTATCCTTCCTTAATCCTCTCAGTGCAGAGAGTGGTGAGGATGGCAGAAAAGATTATAGGCATTTCTCTCCCTTCCATCCAGACATAGTATATAAGCACTGCTTGAGCAGGGTCCGCAAGACACTACACATCCTCTTCATCACCGGTTGTCCTTGTTACCTTCTGGGAAGAGGCTTTGTGGTATCCGAAGCAGAACATCCAGATTCAGTCACAGTTTTGTTCCATACAGTATTAACCTTGTAAACTCTAAAGCTTCTCTTTCCACTATGTATTCAAGATGGACAGTGATTAATATTTATATGTTATTTATATGTAAGGGTGTAGGTTTATATATATGTTGTAGATAGAATATTTAAATGTGTGGTATATATGTGTACATTTTTGAGAGCAAGCAACAAAATTTCATTTTTAATGTGTGCCAATGTGCCCACAGTAAAAAAATGACAATAAAGATTATCTATTCTATTCTAATAGTAAGCTAATCATCTTCAGATCTTTTAATTGTTCATCATCATCACTATCAGCATCATTATTTTAGCCATTGTCTATTCACTGCAGGATGAAGGCCTCTTCCTTATGTTTCCAACCTATATGGCCCTGAGCTTTCTTTTGCCAATTGGGCCCACAATCAGTCTTGTTTTAGGTCTCTTTGTGGGTTAATAGGGGTTAATTTCTAGGCTCCTTGCCATTTAGGTGCCATTCTTTTGAATTCAGTTTGCATTTTTGAACTGTGATTTCCCAAACTGGAGACAATATTTGAAGTGCGATTCAATGAGGGCAGAGTAAATTGGAACAGTTATTTCCCATGATCTAAAGTGTATATTCCTGTTAATATGTACTAAAATAGCCATTGTCTTTTTAGCAGCTGGATTATACTATTAGATCATGTTTATTTTGTGGTTGACAAGAACACCCAGACCCCTTTCACATGTACTACTCACAAACCAGGTTTCTTCCATGGTATATTTATGTCTTACATTTTTCATATTCAGATGCATAACTGTATTTCTCTTCATTTCAGCTCATTGCACAAGCCTGTTTTGATTTTTTTTTTAATATTTCTTTCTTCACTAAAGAATTAATCTTCCTTCCAGCTTTGTGTCTCCCGCAAACTTGATAAATTTTTCCTCAATTCCCTCATCCAAGAACCTGGTTAAATGTTGAAAGACAGAGAGTGCAATATAAAGGCCTATGGCATGCATCCATTAACAAGCTTTCTGGGGTACATTCAGCCAATTGTGAGTCTGCTTAATGACTATCATCTAGCCTGTATTTTACCATTTTATTAAGGAGAATATCATGAGACACTTTATCAAAGGCTTTGCTTGAGCTGCACTTAGATGCACTCATATTTATGGCATTTTGGTAACTCTACCAAGAAAAGAAGATGACTCTGACATGATTTGTTCGCAACAAGCCAGTGCTGGATCCTTTTAATTGTAGTATGTTTGTCCAAGGGCTCACAAACAAGCTATTTATTATGGCTTGATCTGAGACTGAAGAGAATCACCAGTAGTTGTCAGTCCCTTTTCAGAATTGATTCAGACTCAAGGCAGTTGGCTGCTAACTTAAGAGTTAGATGCTGAACTTGGGAGAGTGCCAAGCCTCAGAATGCACCATCAGCTAAACACAGCTCAGCAATGAAGTTCTGGACAACTCTTTGAAAGGAGAAGGCATTATTTCCCCTAATTAGATAAAACCTGGAGCTCTGGCTATATAACATCATCCTCCAGACTCTCTCCCTGGTTAGAAACAAAGGTCTTGCATCCTGCCCTGAATTCTTGTAATCTAATGTTCCAAGGGCAGCTACTCCTTGTCTTGTGGATAGCATCAGCTTTAACTTTGAACTGGCTACTGTGGATTCTTGAAACACAGACTGTTTCTTTAATAACCTGGTATATCTGCCTTAAATTTCATGCAGCTTGCAAAGTGATCTCCTTGTTACAATTTATGGAGGGTCATATTATTATTATTCTCACCTTTTTTATATGTAGTGTGAAACAGCAAACATACCTAATACTCATATTATCTATTTTCCTCATATCAACAACTCTGTTGGGCTCCTTAACCATTAATCAAACTGACTCCCTATTATAAATATATATATTACATTATGATATGATACAATGTAAGATATGCTTATTCACAGTGCTTTTTTTCTTAAAAAAAAAAAAAAGGTGCCAGAACTCACACACGTCATACAACCCGCCTTGCCTGCCCTACAAGGTTCCATCCAAAAAAGGTGCCGGAACTCCGTTCTGGGCATTCTATGAGAAAAAAAGCCCTGCTTATTCAGATCTATTCAAGCCTTTATTTATGCCTCATAGCCAGTGCTTATGTGTGCTTATTTTTGCCCTTGACTACTGAGAGTGTCAAGCCTATAATAGAGGAGTACAATCGAGAAAGAAAAATTTACAATGAATCTTATTAACTAAGTTGTGTATCGTGAAGTAAATAAGAGGTTGGTATACAGAATCTTGGAAATCAGATAAGCCTAAACTCTAGCACATTCATTCTTAAATTTATTGTGATAGGGCTCCTGTGATCTATTTGAACCTCTTTTGGACTTACACATAGTTTTCTTGACAAAATTTCAGAAGTGGTTTGCCTTTGCCTGCTCTCTATGGCTAAGAGAGAACGCAACTGGCTTATGGTCACCCAGCTGGCTTTGCATGTCACAGTCTTCTGATTTCTACCTGATCTCTTTACTACTATATCAGACTGGCTCTCTACAGAGAGATTTATGAGAAGCCAAAGTTCTCAAAGTTCAAGATTTTTAAGTTACCTTGCATTTTGTTGATGACAAGTCTGAAGTTGCCTATTATAGATCTCGGGCTGATAGGTCTACAGTCTAAAGCAGGGATGATATTTTCTGTCTTCCAAGCTTCTGGAATCTTGCTTGCCTTCTCTCAAAGGTTACTGCAAGAGTTCTGAGATCAACCATTAACCTATTACCCATTCACAACCTTTTCTCACAATGGATCTACAACCTCTTTGGCTTTATTGCTAACATATCCAAATAGCTCATTTTTGTTGGTTTTGCAGGCGTGGGTGTGGGTTTCTTTTGTAAGCCTTATGTCAAATTCTTGGGCAGCTGCCTAAATTAAAGGTGATTCTTTTCCAAACATGCTTTCTCAGAGTTCTCATTAGCAAGTTTTATTGAGGTAGACTGATTACAAGAATTTCATCTCCTGACATCATTTGGGATTGCAGGTAGCTGCCCAGTTCAACTCAGCGGAGAACCACCCACCATCACTAGACACTTCTTTTTCAAAGTGACTCTTGGCTTAAGTCCATGGGGGGACTATATGTTTTTGCTAGTGTTCTGTAGAAGGTTTGCTCAGGTAGTTGTGGACCATCTTCTAGAGGGAGAACCATAATTACCCCTGGATGTCTCCTAATCCTTTTGCCTTTTTTGATCACGTGAGCTGTTGTCTCTGCCAAAGTCCCCCCCACCCCACCCGGATCTATGTATTCACTTTCTCTGGCTTCTCTGAGTATGTCCATTGTCCTGTCCAGGAACTTCTCATTTCCACTGATGTGTTGTGGTTTGGAAACACTTTCTTTATGCCCTTTAACTCTCTCTTTCAAGAAGAAAACAAGATTGCACTTGCAGGTGTATTTTGGATCTTCTTCAGCCAGGAAAACAAACATTGTACACACCATGATTCCCTCACCCCCCTCTTCTGATTACTCTAGCCACTTTCCTATGAAAACCTCCTTGTTTGCTGACTGAACTTATGAGCAAACTTATGAGCAAACACAAAGCTGTTTTCTGGAAACTGGATTCCTTATATAACTCCTTGAGCTGTCTCAGCAAGGTCAACAAGGACCATGCTGTAATCAGACACAATGGGTAGTCAACAGTACTCTGGAAATGAAAAGTAATCTATCAGCAGCACTTAGGAAACAGCAGTTTTTTCCTTTCTCTTTTCCTCTTTTTTTTCTTATCTGCTTTGTATAGTTCACTTGCCAAACTCCTATTTTCCAATCAGACGCCAAGTAAGCTTCCAGTGGATTTTATTAAAGTCTCTGGAAGGAATGGAGAAGTGTCTCTACTTTCTCTCCTTCCTTAATGTCAACAACTGGATGCGTCGAATGCAAATGATGCCTGCCACATAGCAACACATTAACCTCCCAGATATACATTATTTGTTACTTGTTGGCCCATTTGAGATAATATATATAAAACCTTTGCAGAGTATATTTTCTACAGTTGCTTTGGGTTCTTGTTCTTAGGTATTGCTTTGTAAGCTTAAAAACATCAAAAGTGTGGAGGCAAAAAGACAAAAGTTCTAATCTATAGTATGTGCATATAACTTTTGGACATGCTTATTTGTACACTTTTTTGCTGGTGTTTATGTTTGTCCTGTTGATATTTTATTCTTCTTAATAATACTAACTTTTCATTTTCAACTCTAGGTATATCCTAATCTTAAATTCATTGAATCTGGTTTTAACCATACTTGAAAATCAATCAGATATAAGTTGTATAATCTTTTTTAAGTTCCATTGCTTGATTTCAAAGATCCCACTATTAAGAATGAATAAGTCAGAATCTAGCTCAACAGAGGAATCTGAAAAAATGTTGGACATTTAAAAATTCTCAAAACACATAACATTTTAAAGAAATGTTTTTGTTTTGAAAGCACTAATAGAGCAGTTTGACTTGAAGTTATTTCACTGATATATATTTTCATAACTAGGTAACCCATTTTGGTCCAAATTTATGTATAGAGAAATTTGATGTTGAGAACTTTGCTCTTTTGTTAAAAAAATCTGTTGAGTAGGTTATGGGACTTCAATAAATTAATATATCTGTCTAAATATTTAATGGTTTTGATTTTTATGCTTTAAAGGGCAATTTGGCACTTTGCAATTATTCACTCAATCAAGATTTCTTAAGTCCTTTCTGTCCAACAATTAAATTACTATCACTGCTATGCAGCAAACTATTGGTTTAATAATGTGTTATAAGAGAAGGATTTATTTTAATTAGTTGTTTTTAGCTGTTATTAAGAAATGAATAAAGATGAATACGTTATTGAGATGTAAATTATAGAACTGTTGTGTGGAAATGAACTTCAAAAACAGGAAGACAGCCTAATACTTGGAGAACATTTTTTCTTTTTTTAAAAAAAGTGGCTTAAACATTAGAAATAAAAGGAAAGTTTACCTTATAATTTATCTAGGCAAAGGGAAAGATATTTTTCACTTATCTAATGGCAAGCATGAGTCAAGATCATGCAAAGCCCTGCCCATTTTGTATGTGTGGGTGCATATTTAAAGGGTTAAGACTTTGATTGTGTGATCAAAGTGTCATGACCATTATCTGTGACATTTATTTACCTAGTAGTGTCATTTAAATATCAGTGGCAATATTCATAACAGAGTAAAATCTTCTACTATCACTGCAAAATTTGATCTGGAAATATAAACTACTTTAAATAAAGACAGTTAAAGTGAGGGTCAGGCCTGCCAATCATTATTTAGAAAGCTTTCTTAAAGCTAGTAACCATTTATAGAATGTTGGAAATGATAATCTCGCCAAAATTTATTTCTTAGATTTGAACCTCTGTAAAAGGCAGGGAGAATAGGTCAATTAGCCAACTCATGCCCCTCTCTTGTTGGGAATTGGAAAGTCTAGGAGGCAAAAGCATAGAATTGACTCTTTTCTTTTTTTTAGCCCTCAAAATGAACAGATTTTTTTTAAAAAAAACTGATACGATGTGGAAATTTGATATTGTTACAAAATTTGAGTCAAGAACAGGTTACATACCTTCTCAGAAACCTAGAGGGCTTCAAGGAAATGAAAGAAATCCACCATTTTGGAGAAATGTTCCAATTCAGCCTCTGACAGACCTATGAGCAACTATTAATCAAAGCGTACTCTTGTCAGTCTATTTTTTATAATGCTATTCTTATTTACAAAATAACAGAATTAACAGTGAAGTAACTGCTGATCTCTAAATGGCTTTTTTCTTTCTTTCCTCAGGCTATAAGACTCTCTTTAGAGCAGTCATTGCCTCCTGAACCAAAACAGGAGAGCACCGAATCAGTTAGTAAACTACGTATCCGAACACCCAGTGGAGAATTCTTTGAACGGCGTTTCCTGGCCAGTAGCAAACTGCAGGTCGTCTTTGATTTTGTAGCTTCCAAGGGCTACCCTTGGGAGGAATTCAAGCTACTAGGAACTTTTCCCAGGAGAGATGTAAGTAAATAAATGTGTTTAGATTACTTTTTCCATTCCTTTACCCAATTGTAGTTCACACTTAGGATGGTGAAGCTGAATGTGGATTGTGAAATAAGCATATGTCCTGCTCAGTGCAGAAGCTGTCTTATAGGATGTGCTATTGCATTTCTCTGAGATGACCATCTACTGTAGATAGGTCCGGCAAAGGAAAGTCCCTCTAATTTTCAAGATACTCTTTTCTAATATTTCCCACCTGGTACTTTTCAGCTCATAGATTTGTACCTCTGATAATTAGGACTCCTCATGTGGCATGGTCTGTCCCTAACTAAGAACCAATCTGAGGATTCTTGTATAACTATTTCAAGATTTGAATGTGACAGCCAGCTTCTCAATGTGAAAACAAAAGAAAAATCTTTGATTGGATTATTCTATAATATCCCTTATGTTTAATCCTTGAGAACAATTTAATCAATGGAACCTTGCCTTCAGAGATTGTGGGTGCTCCAACACTGAAGGTTTTTAAGAAGAGATTTGTCTGCAATGGTATAGGGCAGGGGTAGGCAACCCAAAACACTCAAAGAGCCACTTGGACCCGTTTCCCACCAAAAACAAAACACCGGGAGCCGCAAAACCCTTAAAAATAAAAGTAAAAATATCACTCTTGGGAATATGCATACTATTAAAACAATGATCACCAAGAGAATGCTTTAAGAGAATAAAATTACATACACAGAGAGGTAAAAAAAAGGATATATGCAGTGTTATCTTCATTTTAGATGTCAAAAGGGTCTCTCTCTCTCTGTCTCTCTCCCTCCCTCCCTCTCTATCTGCCCTTGGTCTGCCGCTCCTCTTCCCCCACTCTCTTTCTTTCTCTCTCTCTTTCCTCTCTCTCTCTCCCCCTCCCTCCCTCTCTCTCTCTTTCTCCCCCCCCCTCCTATCTGCTGCTTACCTGGCAAGCTTCAAGCTGTTGTCCAACAAGCTCAGGGGTAAGCAACCTCGTCTCTTTTATGACTCATGGACTTCAACTCCCAGAATTCCTGAGTCAGCCTAGCTGGGCTAGCTAGCTCTCTCCTGCCCTTCCTGCTTCCTGCTTCCTGCAGAGACGCAGCAAAGGGAGGAGCTCCGCCCAGTAAGCTTTTCAGCTCCTCAGAGAACACTGTGAGTGCATTCTCTTTTATACACACACACACACACACACAGAGAGAGAGAGAGAGAGAGAGAGAGAGAGAGAGAGAGAGAGAGAGAGAGAGAAGCAGGGAAGCGCAATTGCCTCTCTCTGTCTCTGTCTCTCTCTGTAAATGGCAGAGGAGGCTGGGAGCCACAGGGGAAGGCTCAAAGAGCCGCATACGGCTCCGGAGCCGCAGGTTGCCGACCTGTGGTATAGGGCCTCCTGCTTGAGCAAAGGGTTGGACTAGAAGACTCTAAAGTCCCTTCCAACTCTGTTATTCTGTCTATATTTGGCTCTCAAGCAAATCTATTTATCACAAGATAAATATTAACTTGTGTGTTCACTGCAGCAAGGAAGGGTACACATCAAATAGATTGCTGCTAGTAGTAGTTTATTTGATTAATTATTTTTATTCATAGTTTTGGATGCTTTCTCACTTGATATTAGATTTTGAAGAGTGGAGAGAACCAAACCCAAGGGCATTCATCCATCCTTGACCTTAACTTAACCTTATTCATCTTACATCAGAATAGTGCCATTTGCCAACCTTGTATCTGTAACGCAATACTAATCACCAGGGGGAACAACATGTTTTCTCTCAGCTCAAGAATGGTGAATGGCACTTTAATCTGGCTGTAACAAACAAACAGCTGTCAATCATTCGTCAAACAAGGTAGGAGGAACCATTCATCTCAACTGAGAATGCATTTGCAGAACAGCTGTTGCTGCTACATCATCAGCTTTGGTTGCTACATCTCTTGGATCCATCTTACTTTTATCAGTATCAAAAAAGCAGACTGATCTCTGAAGCAGCCACCTGCATGGAGTTGGTACAGAGGTCCTCTGAATTAGCCTCTATCCCAAGGAAGTCTCCAAGTGAAAAATGGAATGGAGTTGTTTAGATTGACATTTGTAATGAAAGAAACCCTTCTGTGGCATTATTTTAAAATTATATAAATAAATGCAATAGTCAGGCAAGCATAACAGAAGTTACTCTTGACACATAGGACAAAGTACAAAAGAAAGTCCAAGATTAGGGGTGCAATTATGGCAACTTTATGACATGTGGACTTCAACTCCCAGAATTCCTGAGTCATCATGGTTGGCTTAGGAATTCTGGGAATTGATGCCCACAGGTCATAAAGTTGCCATAGTTGCCCACCCCGACCAAGGTAATATCTTTATTGGGACCAACTGAGAAGACAGAAAAGTGAGCAAAGTTTTGAAAACTTTACAGCTTATTCACTACTTCATGACCTTTGAGTTTCTCCTTCTAAAGGTATTACTTGATTGTTTCTTTTGGATTTTTCTAGTGATATCCTTTAATGACAAGATCTGTGATAACTACTTGAAAAGAGTTATGACATGGGTTTAGTATGGCATGGCATTTGAAACACAAGACAAGAGACCCTTAACATCTCACAAGAGCATTGGCATGTCTTTACAGCCTGCACCTGCAAGTTTCTTTTGTAATCAAAATTAAACCTTGTATTTCTTTTTCTTTGCTGCTTTTCCTCTTTTAAATGCAAGCAATGAAATCCACTTATTTGAAAGTATGGTATACTGGAGACTTAAGCTCTTTATTTACTGTATCTGGAGGCCTTAGTAAGTTAAGACTTCTACAGTATTTCACGTTTATTTATCTGAGCTGTAGCTTAGGATCAGTTGGCACCTAAGTTACTTAAGGTTATTCAAATGCATTTTAAAATGTTGCTTAATAATTCTAAACCAGTTTGTTTTGTTTATAGTATTACGATTCTAAAAATCCCTTTAATTAGTCAATTCCAGCAGCAGCTTAAATAAACAAGAATAAGGAAAAGGCATCTATTTCTTACCCTTCCATTTCAAAATAGCAGACAAAATAAATTTAACTGAGGAGAATACAGTGCATCTAGTCAAGAGAAGGATTTAGGTTGATTTAGGACCAGATTGCAACTGAATGACTGCAGGAGTATAAAATATAGGTGAGGGATTAAAAAGACTTGGTTGGGAGCAGGTGTTCATTTGGTATGTTGAATACCAACTGTACACTAGGAGGAGACGGACGTAGAAAGAAGCAAAAGGCTATGTTGCAACATGTACGTATTTCTGAACATAAGAATGATGAATTACTGGATCAGTTCATTTTTTTCTACTTTTTTTCACATTTTTCATTAGTTTTTCCTTTTATATCATAGCCCTACCATTCTATATCTAACTATATTGCAAGTTCCATTGTGGATAGTAAAATTTACCTTTTTTTAAATTACTTTCAAAGGAGTTTAGTTCTCCTGATTACTCTATAAACTACCTGAGACAGGGTAAGATTCCCTGTTTAGTGGTCATTTCTCAATATCCTCATGAATATTGAACACTACAAATTACTGTCACCAAGATAAGAGTATTCTATTTAAATGCATTTAACCTGTTTTCTCATGCTTAGTTTTTACTTTATGAATTTTTGCTAGAAGAAAGTGTAGAAGCAAAATGCCAAGAAATAGCCTTGGCAACATTAAGAAATTAACATTGCTGTGTCTGCTAACTAGAAAATTTAATGATCTCCTGCTGTTTTGGTAATTGGACAAGTAAATGCATCTTAATAAGGCTCTGATCCTTAGTGATCCTATAGCCCAAACTCTGTTCATTCCGATAGGGCTTCCGCTGTCAGAACTGCTTAAGAATCTGTAAATTACTAAGACATTTTTGTATACATGTTGTTGGTCTAAACTGTACATCAGTTATATTGTAGCATCTGGGAATGTTGTGTTCCCCACTCTTGAATCGTCTTGAGAAATATTTTCTCACACTGATAATTATAAATGGTGTCTTTAACCTAATAGCTACCTCCTTTTTATTACGTAATCTGTATTCAATTGTCTTTGTCTCAGGCTCTCAGCTTGATTATAAAAATTTCATGTGCACCATTTTTCATCGTTCAGAACACGAGATAAATTAGTTTATGACTTAAAATGTCCTCAGATTTAGACAAATGGGGGGAAAAAACTTTCCTTATCTCTTAGAATGCAAATGTACAGTATTTGTAGTAAAAATAATTCAGAAATCCAGAAAATGAATGCATAATGGATTGACCTTTAGCAATTCTTGGAAGAAATGGTACAATGGATTTAAAGTACATTTTAAATGCATTCAGAATTCAAGAATTATATAGAAAACATGAATTATTGACTTGTAGAGGCCATTAATTCAACTGTGACCCAAAGGCTGACTATCAGACTTGTGATTGAGCGGTTTCCTTTGAAAGGGAGTTCATTATTAATAAAGATCTTGACCTATGTCCACAATTGGTACTGAAACCTTCATCACTAAGCTATGCAGTTATTAAATGAGTCATCGCATGACTGAGACCGATTTTACAACCTTCTATTGCTGCGGTCATTACATGAATCAGAACCTAGTGGGAAGATCAGAGAGAGGCAATCATGTGACCGCAGTATACTGCAGTCATCATAAATACATGCATTTTATCAAGTGCATAAATCACGACTACATGGTTGCAGGGAGGCTGCGACACTTGTCAGTATAAAGATCGATCATAAGTAATTTTTTTCAACACCATTGTAACAAAGAACAGTTACTAAGCAAATGGCCTTTACTGGTGGACTGTCTGTAGTTGTAGTAAAACACTTGCAGATACCTTTTCATGCAAGCCAAAATAATACACTAGCACTATGCAAATCCTTTAAAAAGAGCCTGGAAAAAAATGAAGCAAAACAATAGAGCCTGCACATGCATGTGGAGACAGCCAGAAGTACTCTTTTCCATGGTTTACATGGGCCTCTTCCTTGTCCCCAAAGGATTGGATCTTAGAATTCACTTTTTTAAAATCAATGAGCCTAAATTAATTCTTCTC